ATTTATTTTATTAATTTTATTTCAAATGTGAAGTAGCCGTTCGATGACGTAGTGAGTCTTGAACAACAATCAGGAAAACAAATAGGCTGGGTAATTAGTGTGTCTTCGCCAATCGCCTGCTATTATTTGGGTTTTTTTTGTTTACAATGTCTTTGGCAGACAGGAATCTGGGTCACGCTGGTTTGCGTGCACTCAATGATCCATGCTTTCGTTTGGGTGGCGGAACTCGTTTTGTTACACGAGATCTATTTCTGCCATGGAACAGGAACTACACCCGTTGTCGCAGTGAAAAGAACATGGCACAAGGTCAGTCCAACTTTCTCCTACACAAGTAGCGACACAACTGAAGCTGAATTTCGGAACCACAGAACGAGCCCTAGGTGACCGCTATGGCAGGATACGGGGCGTCGAGTAGCAATGCATTCAAAACCGCGTTTAACATCTCCTTTTTCTTTGAATCGGGACTATTCCCTTAGACGATGGAAGAAAGACTCCAAGGTGCGTGAGTAATAAGGATTTTCACCGAATTTCTGCCCTTCCTAAGCTCAGTCTTAAAGGATGCCCCCGCATCTTGCGATAGCGCCCCCAAATAAGTGGGCTACTGTGCTACGTCTTACGGTATCTCTGAGGTTCTACTGGGCTTCCACAGTCATTGGTAACTTTGTAGCGGTGGGCAGTAAGGTATTTGCAGCTCTCAACTATGACTTTTCCCTAGTGTCCCTTCGATACAGGTTTCTGAAAACTACAAACGAAAAGATGACCTGGTAGGGCCTAAGTGGTAACTCCGTAACCGAAGAGAGTCAGGCACGATAGCTGTCTGACAAAAAAGCTAGGCAAAGTTTACTATGACCTATAGGACTAACCTGAAAAGCGAACAGAAGCGGGGTCAATTCAACAAGTAAAACCCATACCTGTAGAGCAGCCTTGGTGTAAGTACGGAAAGAGCACTTGTTCAGACATGAGTCGGGAAGATTTCTGTCGATACAGCATTGCATGAACTTCTCATCAGGGGTAGTTGGCTTCTAAAAAATATAGCTTTTTAAATATAAAAAAAACATGTACAGTAATGCCATTACTTTCTCATGACCGTCCACAGATAACGTACGAGCCGATGCGGCACGTGCTCTGGCACGGTAGCAGCCGTAATGACCGCAACTATAACCTCCACCACATCCACCTCCACCTAAAATGAAATAATGCAAAGTTTAATCGTGTTGACCTCAATCTCAAAGATAATGCTCACCACCGCATACAGGAGCTGGAGGAGGTGGTGCACATCCTCCACCACATACACCCGAGGCAAAACATGCCGAGGTGAAATCTGTGTAGGAGGCAAGAAGCAGAAGCGAGGATGCAACAAACGTTTTGGACATCTGAAAAACATCAGTTATGCAGTAATTTACCAGTAAAACAGAAGTTCATTGTGCATAGAATTATAGCACAGATAGAAGAACATCATAAGGTAAATCCAATTCAATAGGAAGTATATAGTGAGGTAGAAGCAGTACAAAATTGATGAACTGAAGAGTTTTTAGTTTCCTCCACTGACTCGTTTGCATGCCTGTGGAATGTGTGACGAGATGCCCCGTGGTGGGTTCCTTTTATACCAGTGGGCGAGGCGCGGGGGGGGGGAGCACGACGATCTTCGCCGTAGGGCCAGAATGCGTGTAATACGACGGTGAGTCACAACATGAAGATACCGCCTCAATGTCATAAAAACTGGAGAGGCCGAAGCTCGAATAACCTTTTACGACGTTGAAGTACAGGAAATTCAACGTGACGTGGAAACTATAATTACACACAGTTTTTCCCCTGAAAACCTTCCTATCCTACTCTGAATCACTCACAGTCGTTTTCTGGGATTCCATTCCGATTTCCGAAATTCCCACTTTTGCGGAACCAACGAAAAACTTACCTTAATCGAATACAGCCGGTTTAGTCAAGCTCTAGCTCGCGAACTAGTTTGCATTTTCCGACTCCCGATATTGGCAGCAAGTTCCAGATCCACGTACAGTAATCCTTCCATTGTCCCAAGCTCACCTGAGTTATTTACTTGTAATTGTTTAGTACGCAGGTTTAAACCATGTTGAACAAAAGAAGAAGACAGAAAACTAAAAAAAACAGAACAAAGATGAGGTAAAATAAGGAAATATTGACAACAGCACATATGCGACAAAAATGAATAAAACGGACTTCTTTTTTGGACTTTTAGGGGACTCTAAGGACTATATAGGACTACAAGACTACAATAACTAAGATTTAATTCTATAGGACTCAAGAATCAAGATTTTAGAGGCTTTTCTAAGTTTCTTTCAAAAGCACCTAATTTACCAGTAGAAACTCTTGATTTGGCAATTATGGGAGACTCAGTACAGGTTGAGTGTGGCTATTGTTATTTATTTTGTTGTTGTGCTTGTTTACTGTTCTATTTTTTGACTCGAAGGAATTTTCATCCGTAATAGTCTCATCGGATTTTCACCTCCTTCGTTTCACAGCAACCAGACCTGCATCCTAACAAAAGCCACCTCCTGTTTTTCCAGAACGCCGCGTGAATGAAATTGTTGTCGGCGCCCTGTGAGGTCTAAAAACGGCGTTTCTCATACATTGGTAACCGATGATCACGCTCTACCTCATCGCTGTTCGAGCCTCCATTTAGTCATCGGCTTTCTCACGTAATGTTGAGGTGCGATTGGCTTTGTCCGTGTCTTCATCTGGCAGAACAAGTTTGTCTTATTGTCGGTGACGACACAACGCATGATGGCTTTACACCGATCTCTTGGTGGCAAGAAACCGCGAAACACCGGTGGAACCATTGCTGAGTCATCCACACATTCACATCGGCCTTCAGTTCTCGACGAAAAGCGCGTAAAACCGTAGCGATTAGGTGTTTCATTAAGTTGTCGTTGTTGTGCGCAAAGGCACGAAACGAGTTGCAAATAATACGAAAAGGTTTCAAAAGCGGACCGGTCCTTTTGTGTCTACTGCCTAGCTAATCCGGTAAAATCGGCGTTGAATCGGCGATCCGACTGGTTGCGCGCCAGCTTGAAGGAGTAGCATCGAAGTCCGATATATTCCACGAGCATTCCAACGGGATGGCGTATTCCTCGAATGAATAAGCTAGCACAACGCTACGTTTTCTGGAAATTGCTAAATTCGTAACTAAGTTTCCCTAGACAACACAAATGCCCGAAATTGTCAGGGAAGTCAGTCAACTGCCCTCAACTAGCAATCAAATGTGGTGATTTTCCCCAACTAATGAGGACTGAGGAAAGTGGAAACATGGATGAACCTGCCAGCTTCCTCCTACAGCCACATGCAGGGGGGGGGGGCAATAAAAAATACATTCTGTCTATGCCGTACCTCAGCGTTTTTTTTTCGTCGCAGAGATAGTTCTTCAGCAAAATATTCTTCGCCCTCCTTCACTATCCTTACCGTCTTCAGAATATGACGTCATCTGTCATCGTCGTCGAGCTCACGGGGGCCTACAGTAAGCCTGAAGCTCTTACATAATTTCTTAATCGATTCAACGTTGGATAGTTTCCTAGAGACATTAGCTCTGAATATGCAAACCCCTCGGAACCCGCTTTTCAGAAAACGTCGTAATGGTATGGGGTCCGTCCACGACCCCATTGAGCACGACCAGTACACCATGTTTTCAGTGCTAATTTTTCCGATTTCGTCCACCTTGAAGGGCAATATGAAGTTTATTTTATAGAATGGAATGTGCTCTTTCATTTTAACTTGAGATCATTCGGCTTCGAACTTGAGCAGAGTGTGATTAAATCATTTTGAATGTGGAGACAGAATGTATTTTTTATTACCCCCTCCTGTATATAATGAGGTTACCCTTACTTCCATGTGAGTACGGATTCACTTAAACCATTTCGATGTGGAACCTTTGGAGTGGTTCCAGAGGTTCTCTATGCATGTTTTAGGACACTTGCGATGCCTGCAGCAGGTTATCATGAGCTCGTGGTCACTGGTAACTAGCAGTTGAAACCAGATCACTACCGTCAATAGCAACGTAAAAATCAGTAGATAGTGTAAAAACTAAGAATAAGCGATAAAGCATTCATCGATAATGGGCTACACATTCGAATTCTATTCTAAAGCGTAGAACCATTTTGAATGCGATTTGGCCCATACAATGAGTTGTCGGTGCCAATTAATTTATAAGTCAGTGAATGGTCTCGTAAAATGGCATTCGTGAAATCTGGTACCATTAAATTAAATCGAATGAGTGCCAAGCTTGATCAGCCGAGATATCACCCTGGATTCAATCCCCGGCCTGCGAGTGTGGCAAGCAGCACCATTTGCTGCAACACCGATTCCGTCCTTCGTTGGCGTAGAGCTTGGAATTTACTTTGGAACACTGTAGCTGTGGGAGAAGTTGGATCACAGGTCGAAATGCGAAAATCTGTAAAAGGGCTAAATACAATTAATCACGGAGTATAGGGAAGTTTTGT